CCAGTCCAGGAGTGAGGCAGTGCAGTGCTGGCAGACGCCATTTTAAGAACCCTGCATAAATAGCATAGCTACCGATGAGTAAGAGACTGTTATAGGTGAGTGCTTATACAAAGCTGCTATTTATTCAGCAATGGCATGCTAATATATATTCTTTTTTTTTTCTCTCAAATTTTTATTGAATGCAAGTTTTTTTTTTTTTTTTTAAATCATTAGTTAGAATTGCTGCTCACAGATGTGATGTAGGAGAGGCAGGAATTATCTTAAGGATGAAATTCAGTTTTAGTGCTTATGGTATTTAATCAGTTTTTGTTTTGTTTTCTGTTCATTAAAAGGAAATTAATTCCATAAATACATAGTTCTTGATTTGAAATTAATGTGTTATTCCCTGATGTAGATCTGGATTGTGTATATGGGCATTAGCTGTTTCGAGTGGTTTTCCATATCTGTCAGTTTTTCTTGGTTAAATGTCAAGGTGCAGTAGTTCATCTGCAACTTTTAATTGCTCTTTGTAGTTAATATAGGTTAGAGCAGCTTTAAATATTCTTGCATATGGACATTTTTTCAGGTAAGTACTACTGTTAGTAAAGGAATGATTTTCCTAAACAGAGAAGTCAGTATTTTGTTTAGTGGTGTGAAATTTGAAAAACTGAATTTTATATAAAAAACCTCCACCCTCTCTTCAGTTTAGTAGAGAACATATTTAAAAGTTAGGCAGCTAAGTTATTTTTCCATTTTTACGTAAGTATCAGTAAGTCTTGTATGTTTGCAATCCTTATTTTTTTTTTCTTTCTGTGCCCAACTCTCCCCAAAGGAATAACCTCCACCCCTTCTACCCTCATTCAGGCATGTTAAACTAATTTGTATGGAACAAATTAGTTTAACATTGTAGAAAACAATTTTGTTGTTGTTGTTGTAAGTTTTGTCAATATGAGTAGGGAAGTTTTAAATGATTAATTGGTGTTCTGTTCAATTGACAGGAAAACTGGCAAAGCTTAAATTTCAGTTGTGTTCTTAAAACATGTTCCTCTGTGTTCATTCATCTTAATTAGGAATTAAGAGTAGCTTTCAGAATGACTTAAGGAATTTATTGTATTCATCTGGGTACTTAATGGAGTGTATTCCAGTATCATTTCTGGTCTGCAGCCTCAGACCATCACATTCATACTTGCATGACAGTAATGCATGCTGGCTGAAATAACTGCTCTGAGCCCTGCAAAAATGAATTCTCAAAATAAAACTCTCCAGAAGAGTCTACTTGATCACACAGTTACTGTTTCCATAGAGCCATATGTTTGTTCATAATTATTTTGCTGCTGGTCTTAATTTTCCTTTTATTTTGTTGTGGGTAATAGTAAGGTACCTCTGATTAAGGACCTGTTTTTCTGGAATTATTTAATTGGAAATCTTTTGCTAATGAAACATCTGCATTGGAAAGTTTGTGCTTTGTAAGGTGCAAAGGTGAAAAGATCTGTCAGGTTTAGAAAAGTTACTGTAAACTTTATAATGTATTTACAAACTTGAGTTTCAAAGATGACCACTGCAGTCATCACTGCCACCATTCAAACAATGTCATGTTGTGCAAGTCATTACACATTACAGCAAATAAAACAATGGGAGAGGCTTTTGAAGAGCTGTGAATGGGAAGTATCTTTTACAGCTATGTCTAACACACTTATTTCACCAGTCCTCCCCAACTTTTTGATTTTTTTTTTTCAGAACAGTCTCAGTGATTTTCTTATGTGCTTAAATGTTAGTGCCCTTAAAAGATTAATTATAGCAGAGAATATGGAGATGCATCTGTTCCTCTGAGGCTCAGTTTTCGTGGTGCAGGAGGTAATTGCTGGATTTGGTGTGAGTTGTGGGTGATACACGGGGTGCACACCTGTGTGTAGGGAATGTGCTCCTCCATTGCTAAGGAAAATGGGGACCCTTGGTGTCAAGTGGTGAATGCTTCAAGTGTTGATTTAAACTTCAGATCTTTGGGAAGGCCGTCTTGAGGCACCTTTTACGTGATGTTTGCATCCCTGACCATGGCAGGGGAGTTGGAACCTGGTGATCTTTAAGGTCCCTTCCAACCCAAACCATTCTGTCTTTCTATGATTCATTGTATCAGAGATGTGGTTAAGATACTTTGTTCATCTTGAAACTGTGTATGAGGAATAATTTTCTTGTCTCTATAGATCTATTGCAAGAACACTCAAAATGGTGATGGCTCAGGTTCCTAGATTAGGCTCGTTATATGGGGAGAGACAGATTTAGAGCTGAAAACTCCTCCTGTGCTGTAACTAATATGTAGGAGTCCTGCCCTGTAACCCCTGAAGGGCTGGGTTTGGGCCCAGGGCACAGAACATCCTCAGTCAGGCTGTAAGTTCCCCTGGTACTTTGATCAGGGAAGCAGGAACAGTTCCTGCTCTGGTGTTGCTGTGTTGATCCATCACTCCCATTTCTCATCCAGGATTCATGCACAACTCTGTGTATTTTAATACTGACTTGGAGCAACTACTGCATCTTTGTTGTTGTATCATGTTCCCCTGAGGTTGTGATTTGAACAAAATGCGCTCGATGGATTTGGATGAGTCTGGAATAATATGATTGCTTTAATGTAGCTTAAATGTCAGCTGCTGCTAAAAGGATGTTGCCCTTTTCTTCCATCCTCATGTGTGGTACTCTCCCATTTCCCACATGTCCAGCTGCACAGTGAGCTACATCACAGAACTGACTCAGTTAAAATGGATGGGATTTCTTGAAACATGAAGTTAAGGGTTGGGCAAACCATTCCTTTTAGTAGTAGCCAGTGTAAAATGATCATAAGTCTTCAACCTGAGTCTTGTAAAGACTTGTATGTCCTAGTCTGGGTCTGAAACTGGATCTGTGTTTTAGAAGCAGGTAATGTGCACTGCCAAATTACTTCACTCTTGACAGAATTCCTGTGTATGATTACATGTTTGCCTGTACGCATTATTGATCATATATACATGATGTTTTAAAAATAGGGAGTTTGTTACAGTTTGGTGGTATTGAAATAGGATTTTATAAAGAGGGAGGGGAAGAAAAAAAAAACAATGCAGCGTTGGGAGAGAACAATGAACCCATCCTGTGAGCCCATCCCTTCCCATTGCTTAGGAGAGGACTGGGCAGAGGCAAGTGGTGCATGAAATGTTTTGGTGTCTGTAGCCCACTGCCAGCTCTTCTTTGCTGGAGGCCCCTGGGAAAGGGTGTAACAAATGTGCAGGATAATTGATCTGCCCATGCATAATAAATGGGTGAGCATTGTAGTACATCAGCTATGTTATGCATTTAATTTGCCCATGCAAAATAAATCTGAGAAGCATTGTGCTACAGTCAACTGTGCTACACATTTACCCTCATTCTGGTCATATGGGTGCCTTTCCTTGCTCCTGCAATGATCAGACTAGTCCATGAGATGGGAGGTGGATGCTGGTAGAATAGAACTTCCCTTCAGCGTTTTGTGACTTTGTAAATTATTTCCCTGTACAAATGACAAGTAGAGAGTAATGATTTCTGGAATTCATGGATCTTCTGAGCTTTGGGATTTTCATACATTGAGCTTGGTTAATTTGTATTTAAAATTTTTGCTGACATAACTGTGTCATTTTAGAAGTGTGAAAGGAATTGCAACCCAACCCCCCAGTAGCTAATAGTTAATTAGAAGTAGTTTTGTCAAATACCAGATTAAAAAGTCCTTCTGCTATTAAGTTTTACTTTGTTTAGGAATATCTTTTAACTTATACCCCTAACAAAACTCCTGCTAATATAAACTGTTTGTCAGGCTGAAGAGTTTCTCTGATATAAATATAACCAAGTCCTCACTGTTGTTTCTGAGCTCTGATGAGCTGATCCAGGCACACTTATACACAGTGGCTAAAGCCAAGGTCTCTGGCTGTCCTCTTGGCCTCTGTCCCTGGAGCTGGGATGGCTGAATGGAACCTCAGTCCACTCCATAGCAGCAGAAATGGATAACCTGCCATATCAGTGCAAAAAGGGCAGCAACTTCCATGGGCAGGCTGAGCAGTAAATTGTCACTGTCGAGGAGAGGATCTGCATCTCCCATGGCTGTTGTGCTCTGGTGGACACTGTGACACCTGCTTGAGGCACCAGAACCTCGTTTGTGTATCATTTTGAATTTGGGTTTTGCTTCAACATTGTATGTTTTCTTTGACTTCACATCTCCAATAGTCAGATCTCCAAAACTGGTGTGTAAATCAATCTTCATTCTAATTCACTTTTCCTCTCCCTTCCACTTTCTTTCCCCAGAGTGGCTTAACTAGTCAAATTCGGTGAGTTGCCTTTTTATATGGCACCACTATAAAAATAGAACGTCAGAATGTGAGATGTAGTTTGTAATAATTCAATCCTGCCCGGAGCAAATAAACACTGACTGTGTTAAGGTTGAGTGGTAACAACTCTGTACTGTTTACTCTTTGTTATGGTTAATAATTAGTGGAATTGTATTGCAAATAAATTATAAATATTCAGTTTTCTGTTATGTAGTCTAGTTTCAAAATCCTTAAAATTATTTATGAAATAGTGTTTAAAATTGCACTTTAGCTTCTAATTTTGCAAGTTGTTCTGTGTTGCTAAGTCTGTTACTTCAGCTAATCTGTTCATAAGTGCTGATGAACATTTAAATGTTGGCAGGCATCTGTCCACATAGTTTATCCTAGGTTAGGAGCTCCAAGGAGCAGAATTCCTGTTTTTCTGTCACACACATGCAATTTATACATACAGTGCCATAAACTTCACTACGTGTTACAAGACTGTCATTAGTATGAAAATGTTACTTTTGTGATTGGTAACTTGCAGTTGTATGCATGTACCTGGATTGTTTCTGGACATGCTTTGATCAATGTATGCTTTGGCAAACAGGCCTTTCATATAGTTGTGTTTGACAGTGTTACGTTGACCTTCATGGATGGAAGTTAGACATGAGAACAATACAGTCTCTTAAGTATTCTAATTCAGCTTTTTGAATCCTGCAGCTTGGCTGAAGAGGAAATAAAGGCAGAGCAGGAGGTGGTGGAGGGGATGGACATCTCCACTCGATCCAAAGGTGAGTAAGAGGAGTATTTCATCTTGGTTCTACAACCCAACTGTTTGTAAACCAGGATACTGAGACTGTGTCATCTGCCATGAAGCTGCTCTTGAGAGAAGGCTGAAGATTCATTTTTTTTTTACAATGACTGTTGTATGTTAGAAAGTGTTTCAATTTTTGCTTGGTTTTCATTATACAAACCTACACACACACACATATTTCAGTGTTATTTCAGATTTATGAATAACTAAGGTTAAACTATGAAAAACCATCAACCTCTTGTATTATCTCACTTATCATGGCTTCCTTTAAAGTACTTTTAGATTCTCTATGCAGGAGAAAATGTACTAGCAGTAACAGCAGCAAAAATAACAAGGTAATATTTCCTACAGTAAGGAATCCTATTTTTTCTAAGGATAAATAATCACAGTAGCATTTTTGTTTGCACAGAAACTGGTCCCCTGAGCAGTGTGTATTTAATGGGCATTCATGTATCCATTCCTGACATGAATTAAACTTGGTGGAATTGCAGGTGTCTGACAATTTCTGTCCTGGTTTCTGGTGCTTTTCCTATGAATGAGTTACTACAGACAAATGAAGTTTTATCTTTCAGTATAAAGAAAGCTAAATTTGTAACCATCTCTATAAGTGTAAATATTCCCACTGTCATTTGGAAGGGGGAGATGGAAAAGTCCTTCAGTTGGAACACTCACATGGAATTGTTTGCTCCAGTTCACTGTAATTCACTGTCCATCTCCTTCTGTAGTTGCAGCTGAGTTTACTTGGAAACCATTTCTGTAAAACAGCAGCAATAGCTACTACCATACTTTTAAAATTCTGGCACTCAACCCACTTACTCTTCACATTTCTAAACCGGGGGTCATAGGTCGAGTTAACTCCAAATATGCAGAGGGAATTGTCTTGAAAGTGTGGCACAGATCATCTGCATTCCTTTGTTTTTTTTAATGGGGTAGCCTGGGTAGATATCGTGGTTATAAAATTGAATTCAGGTCTTATTTGCCCTAACAGACAGTAAATTTTCTGGTTTCAGTTCTCATGGTACAGTTATATGAGATGGTAGGTCTGATCCGGCACCTCAAAAGATTCAGTTCCTCCTTTTGTCCCTTGTCTTGTCCTTTTCTCCCTTCTGTCCTTCTGGTCTTGCATGTTAGCCTCTATCACTGGACTGCTTTTGGTGTTTACTTCTCTCTGTATTTCAGTGTTCTAAGCCAGCAGAAAGTAAATGTTTTTGTTGCTTTAATGGTTGCTGCTGAGTGGGGTAAGCTCCCAGCTCTGCACTCCCACCGCTCACTTCCTCTGGGGTACCTATCACATCCCAGCCACTTGGACTCTCTAACCAACTTAAAAACTGAAGCATTTTTCTACCGTTGTAGTGACCAGTTCGTTTGTGAAAGAGTTTGATAATACAGACTTTGGTATAAGAGGCAATGGGGGTTATTAGATGCATTTGGCTGCCTATGAAATCTCACCTTCATTTCTCTTTAGAAAGACTTTGGCCCACAAAGTTCTGAACTAGTGGGATAGTGGCAGCAGTGTCTCCACTCATAGCAATTATCTTGTGCAGAGTTTTGCTTTGTGTGTTTTAGAAAGGATGTAGATGAGGAAGTTGACTCTATAGACAAACCTGAAGGGCAGCACACAGCTCTTTGTGCTTTGTTTGGGTTTTTTGTTGGTGCGAGAAGCCTGTGCAGGAGATCAATCCATGTTATTGTGTAACTTCACACTTGGCCTAGAGAAGCGGATGTGCTGCAAGTCTGTAACCTGACTTGCCCTGCTGCAGTTTGTGCAGCTCATGTGAGGCTGTGTCTAAAGAAAGCTGTAGGAAAATACATTTAATTGCTTTAAAACCAATTAGCCTGATGCAGACCTCCTCATGAACATTCTTGTTTTGGTACAAGCAGTTTAATTGCTATAAATCAATTCCAGTTGAGTTTAAGCTAAACTAAACCATGCATTGTTTAATCTGTGACACGGGTGTTAACACAGCCTTTGAATTGGTCTAAGTAACGTGGTGGTTTCAAAGCAGCCTAAGCTGGTCAGACTGCTCAGTGCAGCAGTTTTGTCCACTTCCTTCCATACCTAAGCCGGCAGGAAACTAACTGAACCATAAAACATGAACGGTTTTCTACTAGCTTAGTGTGCTGAAACAGCTTGGTAGACTGCCAGAACTGGTTAGAGAGAGGGCAGGAATACACCAGTCGGGTGCAGGAAGTGCAGAGCTTTGTTAGCAAGCACTTAAATGGGGTTAGGCTGTCATGAAACCAGAGCTTAAAGCTTACACTTATTACTTTATAATGTGACACACAAGAGTGAGTGTGTAGCTGGGGTCAGGGCTGTGCAGCCCTGTGTTTATCTTCAGCTGCATTTCTCTTCTCCTCGGGCTTCTGTTGCACAATCAGCTGTATCAAGCAGCTGATCTGGCAGAAAACTGATCATTTTTTGTAGTACCAGTTTTGCCTGAATCATGAACTCATTAACCCTACTAATACACAAAAGTGCCTGTCTGCAAAAAGTGATGGGGACAGATGAGGGGGGAAAGGGAAGAGGAGTAGAGTTACTGTAGCAGTTATAATTTAGGTCTGCTTATAAGCTGTGCATGTGCAGCTTTGCTAAAGACAAGGTTTTAAAATGCGCTGCTCTCTTGATGAGAACAGGAAGGTGTAAGGAACCTGAGAACTGGAAATGGGAAACGACAGCTTAAAGAGGATGCAGAGAGTCCAGAAACATAAAATGGAGTCAACAGAGGATTGCTGTTTAATAAAGGAGAAAGGTTGTGGATGAGATTATTATTATATTTTGTCCTCTGCTTATGATACATTAACATCTTGCTATATTTCTGTTCCAGCACTATGGACTACTTTTTAACCTTGTTTATTAAATATTTCGAGATGGGGCTTGCAAGGTTTCTGGATAAATGCCTAAGCATTTCCAGGTTGTGGTTCCAGAGCAGCATAACAAACTTAATTGTTTGGTGCAGTTCTGTCTTCACTTGTACCTGTTCTCTTTGGACAGAATGAACTCTCCACTGAGCTTTGACTTCCATGTAGGTTTTCATGCATTTCAACCTAGTAGTGGAACCATTCCCTGTTTCGTGCCCAGTCAAAAGGAGCTTTTAAACCCTCTTCTTCCCATCATCAGTCACACATCTCTTCCATTGCCTTTACATCTATGCTGGCTCTTAGCCAGTTCTCTTCTGGAGAACTTGGGTTCTACACCCAGGACTTGGGTGTAGAGGTAGTTTTCTACCTACTTGTCTCCCTGAACCAGATTACTGGGGAGTTGAACAGATGATGGACATGGCTGGGAGCTGGTCATTAGATGGTCTTAACCTGGCATAAAATCACATACTGCTTAATGGTGAGGATTCTGACTCCTACAGCTTTTGCACTGCAGCAGGTTTATGTTGAAGGCTTTGGTCCCAGGGGCTCCTCTCAGTGGTAAACTGTTCAGCCATCATGAATATGAATGCAAAATGACTAGTTAAGTGGACTTCCCAGAATGCATTGTACATTTTGCAACAGTTTCATCACAGCACATCATGTATCAGCTTTCTTTGCAGAGATACCGAGTATTTAATCACACAGAGATGGAGATTCTTAACTGCAACCTGAACCCAAATCTGAGACTCCTCCAGTGAACAGGCACCAGCCCCGGGCCTTTGTCTCTAGTGCAGAGCCCCTTGTTATCAGGAGTCAGCTCCGGGTCCTTGGAGTGCCTTGGGGCAGCAATACCCCAGAGCCAGGCTCCAGTTTATCCACACCTCACAGCTCCTTACCTTGCAAGTTGTTGGAAAGTGTTTCTTTTTCGTCTTCCAGAGCCTTACAGTGAAGAAACAAGTAGCAGTGTCTCCTCATACTTGTGTAAAACTGTAAGGTAGTAGGAGTTGAGCAGAATTTACACAACCGTGGCTGACCTCTGGTTATTTATGACATTAAGCAACTGGATTGGGTTAATTACATTGGTTGGTGTTTCTGGAATGTAAACAGGGCTCTGGTGGTTGATTGCAGTTGCATCATGTTTCAGAATTCTGGCAGAAGATTGAAAGGGCTCAGAGTTGAGTGTAAGTTCTGACAGATTTATCCATTATTTTGTTAAGGTGTTTTGAAGATAATTAACCTTGCTATAGTATTACAGGTAACGGATTTGAAAAATTGTAAATCTGTTAAGAATCATTCAGGATAAGAAATTTAACCGTGAGACTTCACAATTCAGGAATTCATATCAATTATTAATTGAAACCTGCTCTGTCAAATTGAACTGGAGTTAGTATTGGTATGTTTTCTTGCAGATTTCTTAATTGTTTACTCTTCATACCATTTTAAATTATAGACATTCAGAGATTTTGAGAAGGAGAAGTGACAATCTAGGTGGAAGTCACTTTTCTGGTTTTGTTCTTGTTCCTTCTGAAGGCATAGATACACATTTCTATGGGGTAATGGCAGCTTAAGAAGTCTTCAGTCACCTTTGTTTTCTTGTACCTTCTCTCACACTGCCTTTTTTTTTAAGCTAACCCAGCTGTTTCTTACAGCCATCAAATGAATTCTTCATGTTCGGTAAATTTTCGTTCTTTTGTTCCGTTTCATCAAATTTAACTCCTTGATTTGGTTCACCAAATGTTGGCAGAACTCTTGGTGTCATAATAAAAGGCATAATGGGGCACTGGGAATTAATGTTAACAGAAGTAGCCTTGGGCTGGCTCTGTTTTAAGTGACACTTCTGTTGAGTGTTTGACTTACGTGGAACAGTTGACTGTGTTTCTAGTTGGAAACATTATTCAGAATTTTGCATGTTTGACCCACTTGCATTGAGATATCAAAAACCTACTTACAGAAAATTCATTGGTGTAACTGTGTCTCAGTTTACTGATATCTCCTGGGAGACTAAAATAATGCTTTTGCTGAAAAAATACATTCCTGTTTCTGGCTCCTGGAAAAGTATAGGAAACCTAATGCAGTTAAGACAATTTTTTGATTGTCTGTATTTTATTTTGAAATGCAAAAATTTCCTTCCCATCCACGAGGTATACCCTGTCTCAAAGAAGGGTAATTCTTTTGCTGACAGTAAAAGCTTTTACCCTGCAATTTCCACACTTTTGGGGAAGGCTTTTGTTTTGATTGTCTAACTTTTTGTGAGGTTGAATTTTAAAATCATGGTGTACTGTAATTCTGATTTACTCAGGCTTTTCTTATTTGGCTTGCTATCCACTGTGTTGAGGATACAACACTAAGGCAATGTATTGTGATCCAAGTCAGTCCTGCCACGCTGGCATCCTCCTTCCTGTCAGCCACATTTCCATCCTTTTCCTTTATTCTGGCAACTATCAGCTTTGGGACTTGTTGCTGTGCTCATCCAGCTGAAAACAATTTTTAAGTGTTGTTTTTTTCTTTTTGAGTCTATATCAGTTTTCCAAACCATCTTGCTTCCTGGGTGAACAAACAACAGAGAACTGATTTGTTCCCTTTTTCTATCTGTAGGAGGGTTCTGAGAAGCTTTAACTTAGATTTCAGCTCTCATTAAGGCCTTACTGGTAGGGAAACTAATGCACATACACCTAGAAATACATATGTAGACATGATTTCATTATGGTTTTCATCTGGAATTACTTTGATTGCATTTAGCATAAGTTTTTAAATTAAAAAAAAAACAACAACAAAAAAGGTGTACGGAAAGAAGGGAATAAGAGACATCAGTGTCAGTTACTCTTTGGTACTGAGTAGTTTGTGCTGTGTTCTGACAGTAAGGCATGTTGATGTTGCTTGTTTTCAAGAAGAATTACATTTGAGGATCACAGGAAAAGCAAGGAAAACAACAGCCTACTTTTAGACATTTTCTGAGTTGGCACCTGCTTCCATTGAGAAAAACGAGACTTCTCAGTGAGTTGTCAGGAATGGCTGCTGTGCAGTGTTTACAGTGCAGCACTTGGCAATGTTTAGAGCATAAAAGGATCTGGTCGTGGTCTGTGCTCCATGTGCTGCAGCCAGATAAGATCCCTGATATAAATAATATACTTTTGTTTGGTTTTTTTAGTTTTTTCTAAGCTGAAATGTATTAAACCATTGTCGTGGTTATCTGCTCAAAAACTGCATTGCCATCACATAAAAACTGCACTTCTAAAGTAGTCATAAAGTGTGAAATTAAGTTGCTTCAGGGTTTAAGTATGCTTTAGTCTGTCTCCTGGGAGCATTAGTTACTAATCCTTTAGTCACATGATGGCATACTAAAACAAAGATTTTAAGTTTCAGGTGAAGCTCAGGTGAGCTTGTTGTTCCCCAATGGATGGTTTGCAAGAGCACTCATAGGTACTTAGTGTCAACCTCGGTAACATCACACACCAATTAATACTAACCTTGTGATGTGATGTAAAACTAGGTACCTTTTAATGAGAGTTTAAAAATTTATTTCAGGTGTCTATTTCTTCACTTAAGCTGGAAGCAGAATTTTAAAATGGTGCTAAGAAAGCAAAATCACACAAGAAATCAAGAAATAAGACTTAAGCTTGCTTGGCAAACTTAATTTTTTAGTAAATTTGGCAAATTAATTTGGGAAATTAATTTGTTGGTACAATTGGTTTATCGATGGAATGTGCAGAAACTTGAATCCAGCTCTGAAGTAACGGAGTCACCAAGTTGCTGCAGAGTTTAAATTAGAACAAAAGAGACCAGTCCTCTCAGATTAGTTTCACTTTGTTCAGGTAACACTACACCAGGGAAATGATTCAGGTTAAAAAGTAACTTTTCTCCTGACAGGTTGTTTTAACAGGGAGCAGTTTCTTGATGTGGTTCACAGCTCAGCCACACAGCTGGAAGAGCCAGGCAGGGAGAAGCAGCAGCTTGTGCTGAATGGGGCACTCCTGTTGAAAGAAATTCACACAAAATGCAACTTTAGCATTTTTTTATCTGGATTAGAATTGGAAGATAAAGCTCAAGCAATTTAAGTAGGTGCTACCATTCTTTTGTTACTTAAACTGAATTAAAAGATTGTTCATGTTATTAGGTTCCTCACAGATTGGTAGATTGGCAACACGCTGTGATAGTTAAAGAAACTGGTCTATTCCAGTAGCACAGCTAAATCTGGAAGAAGATGCCTGTGCATTGCTGTTTTCCTGTCTAGTCCTTAATTTTTCCAGTTACATTTTACCTTCTCTGCTGAGGTGTAGTTTGGATTTGACTGTGACTGAATTGTAATTCTGTTCTGGTTTAGCTAATACCAGTTTAACCCTTTTCCTGACCCTGAATCAGTTAATTTAGGAAAATACAGCATTTAAAGGTGAAAAGCATTACATCATGGGGGGCAGGAACTTTACAGCTGATTTTCTTTTTCATACTTAAAGCTGAGTCACAATGTGCAGAGTCACAGTCAACTTCTTTGTAATCCCCACAATCTGAGGCTGAGGAGCTGAAAGGAAACTGTTGTGCTTCACTGGTGGCAGTTTTGTGCCTGGAAGTAAGAAATGGAAGCCAAAGGGCAGAAAACTATGCTGTCCTTTTACCCCCCTGGTTTAAGCTGTCCCTGCATAGGTACAGTCTGGGAATAAAAGCTGAGTCTCTTGAGGGAGTTACAGTGATGGCTTTATTTGCTGGTGAGAAACTCTGGCTCAGACATCCTTGCAAGTCCTTTGGGGATGTTGTTTGGTGTAGAGAGAGACAATTCTCACATCTCCCTGCATTGAGAAAACAAGAGTAAGGCATGATCAGCACTTCACAGTGAGAGAAGTTTTCTTATGACTGTCTTTAGTAACGTGTGGAAAGACTCTGTTGGGAACTGCAATTTGTAATAAAGAAACAAAGACTTAATGTGGTGACAGGAAGATGAGAGAAGATATGGTGTGATGCTGGTTTTGCAGATCACTGAGTGCAAACAGTTCCCATGCTGAATAAGCTCTGTTCTACTTTCATAAAAAAAAAAGTAGAACTCAGAGCTTTTTTTGGTTTTAGGTTTGATCACTTTGGTTTAGTTGTGGGCTTTGGTTTAGCTGACACTGATGCTGCAGTGTTTCTTCCAGCATAGCTGGGTTGGCGAAGCTCCCTTGGGATATGTGAAGCATATCCCAGCCCAAGGAGTTCTTCTGCCACCTTCTGTGCATAATCAGCTAAACTGACAAACCCACTGAGTCTCCTGTCAGCAGAGTTGTACTGTGTTAGAATTTTTACTGTCATAATTGCTCAAGGAGAGGAGGAAGCAGACACTCTACTTTTCACACATACAGGTGACATACCTTATCTGGCAGTTCTCTGTAATGTCAAATCAATCCAAATTTTGGGCTAAATGCAGATTTGCTTGAATCAAAACACATCCAGTAACAGTCATGGCCTCAGACACATTGTATTGATTGAATCCAGCCTAGGTGTGTCAGGAGATAACTGGTCCTAAACGCTGCCTACAAGTATGAAAGGGGAGGGGTGTGTGGGAAGGAAAACAAGTCACCTCCTAGTGTCAGAACTCAAAACATGAAAACTTTTTGTTTGTTTATTTAAACCAGTTTAACTATGTTTTGCCAAAGATTTGTAACTTATGTCAACATAAAAGTTTCCCTGAGAGCTGGCATGACATTTCTGCAGCACTGCTGAAGTAGCTGTGTCTATAGAACTAGTGGCAGACACTTTTCCTAAAATTGTTGAAATGACCTGTGTTGTTAGGCTGGTGCAGCTGTTCTAGATTCATGAAACTCAGGATGGGCAAACGCTACTACGTTTATTTTCCCTCTTTCAGTTAAATAATCTTCAATCTATATTTTAATATATTTTTCATATTTACTCATGGTTTCCTTAAACGTTATCTTGACACAAGTTGCCAAGCTTTTGGTCAGTTAGAAGTCACCAGGTAGCTCCATATTTTCCATAAAATTGTGCAGAAAGGGACCAAAACCACAGTTTTGAGTTTTTTTGTTTTCCTGTGCAGTTCTGTGTTTTGGGGATGGTTCAGTTATTTCTCTGTCATATTGATGACTTCTGATCCTTATGGTTTTAACTAAAGTTCTGTTTGTTGCATGCATTAAAAGCTTAGGGAAAAACTAAACATGTCAAACCAACTCTGATGAACTTTCACTTCTATTTTGTCAAGATCATGTCACTGCTCTATGATTGTCCTTTACAGCTCCTTACACACCTGTTTCTTTTGAAAAATATCAGTAAGTTCTTTATAATTGAGCTGATTCATTAGAAATCATTTAAATTTTGTTCTGCGAGAATAAAGTTGCAAATGTTCTTACTTTAAAAAGATGAATTTAAAATCTTTGCACGGTGTGGATGACAAACCATAACCTTGTTGGAGTGTTTTTCATCACTCTGCACTCTTCAGCTATGTTGTTTGTGTCTGTTCTAGATCCTGGCTCTGCTGAACGCACAGCACAAAAAAGGAAATTTCCCAGCCCTCCACATTCCTCTAATGGCCACTCACCACAAGATGCATCAACAAGTCCTATAAAAAAGAAAAAGAAACCTGGTCTATTGAACAGTAATAATAAAGAGCAGGTAAGAGAAGTCATGTTTTTTTGGTGCTAGAATATGAAACAGTAAAGGATGTAGAGACAGCTGATCAGGAGCTCACTCCTCTTCAGGAAGCTCCATTCTTGTACTCTTAAGAAGTGGTTATTAATTTTTGACTGCAGTGGGGGTAGGAATTGGCATTATCATTTGGGTTTGAATGCTCTTTTGTTATTGTTGAGAAAGACCACCCGTGTCCTGCTTATTGATTTCACAAAGCTAATAAGATGTATAATCAATAAATGTAATTTTGAACAGAATTATTATGAAGAAATGTAAAAACAATTAAAAAACCAACAACAGCTGTTATTAATTAAAACCATTAAAAGGAAATGCTCAGTGGTGTGATATCTAAGATGAGAAAGATCTCATAATGTCAGTGGAAGTTCCTCATCTGCTTTCAGTCCCGTCCTACTGTGAATTATTAACAAAAGTCAGCTCCATCCTTGGTGCTCTGCAGATTCCCTCCCCTTCCTTAAAACTTCTGGGCAACGTACACTCCTGCCAATGGGAGTTGAATCAATGGGTCACACTGACTTTTCAGCCTTCATGCTTGAAGCCTCATTTTTAGTGACTTGTGAATACTGAATTGATGGCATTTGTTGTAGTTCTTGGAAGAACTCGACTCTGGAAGACTTTGACAATTTCTGATCCATTGTATGATGCATGTGCAAGAATTATATGTATGGAATAGCAAATGCTGTAAAGCACCTGCATGATCTTAGAGGAGAATACATGAAAGCAGTCTTCAGCCTTACTGAAATTATTTCATGTCTAATGTAATAATGACATACCTGTGTATTTTTCAAAGTTCTTTTGTGTGTCACTGTTTTTTGTTTTGCCAGGATCATATGAACACGGGATTAAGTTGTGAACATTTAAAGCACTTTTTCCTGGCATAACAACATCCACATTAGATATTACCCTGGTACAATTGCACTGGTGAAGAAAGAAAATGAAATTCCTAATCACTGCAGTTGTCCTGCAACAATGCCTGTGAATAAATCAGGCCTTAAAAACCAGTGTCAACCGTATTTTATTTCAGGATAACTGGGAGGTGTGACAGTAGCATGTGGAGATGTGCTTGCAGTAGGGCACTGGGGTCAGTTTGGCTTTTGCTGAGCTTCACTTCAGGCTGGATTTACTCCTCTACATCCTGGAAGTTTTCTGGGGAGATGTTGCCCCACTGAAGTCTGAGCTTCTAACTGTGCAGTGTAGAGATAATTTTACAAACAGTGGAATTGAATCCTAGGGTATTAATTTCCACTTTTTCTTCCTGCATTTAGAAGTACATGTGAAAACACAGTTGCAGTTGTTGAACGTGATACATTCCCCTCGGTAAATCCTTTTCTGTTTTCCAGGTATCTCAGACCTGCAATGTACAGGATAGAATAAATAATGAAGAAAACCAATCAGACTTGCTTATTTTGCTGTGTTTATTACAAGTTAGCAAGAAAATATAATCTGTTGAGTTTTGTTCAGCTTTCACAAGTTGTTTTTAATATTGTCTTGTATGTCAAATTTGAAGTGGGCCTGTTATGTTTAAAGTAGGTGCAAATTCTGCTCTGTGTGGTAGCAGGAGTTGTTAGAGATCTTTTTACTGCTGAGCAGATGTGAGTGAAGCATACAGGTACTAGTTTTACTCTCAGGTTAAGTTTCAAGTATGATGTAGCTGATAGCTGTGGTTCTGATTGGCTGATAAATCTGTTTTGAGGTACCACAACATCCCTGGAAACCTCCAACTTAATATTCTGCATTACAAAGTGCTTTGTAGTATTTGAGTATTCCAAGATACCATTGCTGAAGTTACAGTTGCATGAAGCTTTGTATTATATGTTGTGGATGCAGTAACAGATCTTCAGAATGGTGCCAACAGGCATTTAAGGTGCTGAAATACAGGCAAAGAATTATGGAATTGTGGAATGTAGCTAAGACAGGTTAAAAATCAGAGACTTATGACATTTTGTTGATCAGGTACAATGTAATAGAAGTTGTTAGCTTGTTTTACTCCTAGCTTCAGTATTCATTTAAACTGAATATAAATAGTGATCTTTTTCTCCCCAGAACAGCACTATGATACTGTTGGTTTTTTCTTCAGTTTTCTGTGTCATTCTACAGGTCTTAATAACTTTAATAAAGACTTTAAAACAAGCTGCCACCTATTTGAGCTTGAACTTTGCCAACTGTTAAAAATTTAACTCTTAAAACATTACTCTGATTACAACAAGTGAAAAGGTCCTTTGATGCAGTTGAATCATTCATTTTCAGTCCTTTAGTTTTGTTCTTTGGGTCTCTTTTGAGTCTCTGAACCTTTTTTTTGTTTTGTTTCTTAAACTTGGCTTAGGCAAAATAAGGAGATAGATGTCTAAATGGTATAAGCATCCTTGAGCAGAAAACTAATTCTTCTCATGCTTCAGCCAAAATGGACTTCTCTTCAGTTTGGATGTTCTGAGCCGATTTCTGTGGGATAGTTTCACAGGTTTTATGTTTTTCTTAAAGCTGAATCTTTGAATCTTGCAAAGTGTGCACATACTACTTATATCTACTTCCAAGTCAGAATATGTATTAAATTCTTCTGGTGATTTCCTTTGTCTGCAGTGGAGGAAATGCCCCATAGCTGCATCTCCATGTGTACAAGATTAAGATTTGGGTCTCACAGCTGTGGTACATAAAGCTGCAAACAGAACATGTTTCTGCACTGGAAATCACAACTTTCCCTTCCTCACTTCACGTTTCCTGATGCCTTTGTATCTGTTTGAATGATTGTGGTAGCAATACACTGAAATGGAGTTGAACTCTTATGCTGTCCCACTTATTCCTCAAGGTCTCATAGAACCTTCCTTCTGAAAGTCTTGTCATATTATAGAATTAAATATATATATATAGAAAGTACAGAAGTATCATTTTGTCCATTTCTGTGGTGGGAACAAAGTGTCTTTTGAGGCTTTATCATCTGTAGAATAGAAAATGAAAACCACCAAAACTGAAAGAAATTCATGTGAAATTTTAGATGCCAGAATGTTTATGGGTAACATCCTTTCTTTGCCTAAAATATTATACAATGTTAGATAATTGCAGATGATACCTCTTCTGGGTATTTTTTGAGATATAACACTTCTACCTTAAAGGTCCTTTATTCATGCAAATAATTAGATCTCATCCTTTCTAACTTCAGATATTTAGAAATATTATGGTTTGAAGTAGCATGTGGGTTGTTTTTGGTGACATTATTTATGCCTCATTGACTAATTTTGTAAAGCATGCCCCAAAGGTGGAGAATCACACAGGGATCTCAGAACTTCCAGATGTGTAAATGTAGGACCCATGCAAAATGACCTGAGAACCAAACAAAATGGTTTTGCAGACTACAAGCATTTGGATGCTTGAGTGATGTCGTGAGCAAGCGATTTGACATCAGACAAACTGCCTAAAATCTCAAGATTGTTTCCCCCTGTGCCCTCCTCAGCAAACCACCCCTGTAATTAATGCCAAACAGAGAATTGAAGTTCCCTTGTCACTAATAAATAGAATGTAGTTTCCCAATACATGTTAGCAGCTCTTCAAAGCTGATATAACAAACTTTAGGTATCTGTGGATCCACTTAAGCCCTCCCAGGCTCTTCACTTCTTGTGCTTTGGCATCAGCTGTGTCATCTTTGAGCTGTCGGGCTCAAGTGGAAGAGCAGTTCATGCAGGTTACAAATTTAACACTGTTTTCTAGGGCAGGCAAACCAATGGAGATTGTGAGTCTCAAATTTTCATACGCATTTAGATGATGAATGAAATCTCTCCCAGTGTTCCTGCTCCTGTAGCGGAGGTGGCTGCTCAGGATGTGAATTTGCTCCTTTGTCATCCTTCTCTACAGTTTGCCTTATTAATCAGAATTGGCACTGGCTTGCTTCATGGTGCAAAGCTGTGAACTGCTGCAACCTAGCCCAGATATGCATGGTGTTCTACTCCTTGTTTCAGGACTAACTTCTTCAGTTGTCCCAGGTTTAGCCACCGCTAAACATCTCAGTATTTAGCTTGCACAGCCCCATGGAATTCTGAGTTCAGAAGAGCTAATGGCTTCTGTAGCAATACTTCTTTCTTGAAGCTTAAAGTGTCTGCTCTCTCTTGTTGGATTGCATGTCTTGCACTCGATGCCCTCACTTGCCACAAAAAATTTGTTTCTGGTCTTGAGTGCAAACTGTCATTCGACATCTGAATAAGAAGTAAACTTCTTTATGAACGATTTTGTGCAATGACTAAGATACTGTGCTTGCATACATGTTAATCAAACTCTGTTAATTGCTGTTTGCTTATATATGTGATGACTATGACGATTTGAAAAAAAAAATGCAAATTTGTTTTGAAACCAAACCTGTTTTTCTTGCCTACATTTCAGTCAGAACTAAGACATGGTCCGTTTTACTATATGAAGCAGCCACTCACCACAGACCCTGTTGATGTTGTACCGCAGGATGGACGGAATGATTTCTATTGCTGGGTTTGTCATCGGGAAGGCCAAGTCCTCTGCTGCGAGCTCTGCCCTCGGGTTTATCATGCTAAGTGTCTGAAACTGACAGCCGAGCCAGAGGGGGATTGGTTTTGCCCCGAATGTGAGGTTAGTTGGATGGAAGGATGACTTTCTTGCTTGTTTGGGAGAGATTTAAGCGGCTTTTTCTGTGTTCTGAAACGTTGCTGGTTTAGTCCCGTATTGCCTCTTGGTAAAGGGACCAGAAAAATTTGTACAGGAGAGGAGCCATCCGTGGCTCTGCTTCACCACCTGTTCTCCCTGTGTGCCTGGGTTGTGTTTGCCTTCTTGCCACGAGTCTTCAACTTCCTTTGTGTTTCCAGCTCTAGAAAAGCACCATTTCAAAGAGTGATCTCTTCATCAGGCACCACTAATTCTGAAAACATTCTGCAGTTTTCCACTAGTTTAACTTGTGCTTCTCCTAGTGGGCTGATCAGCTTTTCAACAGTGCAGAAAAAAATGCCTTGATTAGATAGCAGGTTTGTGTCACCACTCAACCTTACAGCCTCATCAATTAATTTTAAAATGTAGCTTTTAATCAAACAAATTTCTTATAAGACTTGACAAAATTTGTGGAAGGCAGCAGGATGAACTTTGTCCCTCTAACCCTCCCCAAATTTCAAGAAAGGCATAGGATGACCTATATAAAAAAATACCCATAAACAAGTGGGTATTTTATTACATTTTTTTTTTCTGCAGGGCTGAGGAAGAATTTAATCATTCCTCTCCAAAGATTTCTGGGGAGAGGATACTTAGCATCCAAGTATCTCTAATGAAAACAAATTTGTTCATTGCATGTTTGGTTTTTTTTTGATCACTTATTAGAGCCCAGGTGACCTTCTCACTTGTTCACATTGCTGTGAACCCACATGGTATTTGGGAATTTTATATATTCACCCATTCACTTTGCTTGATCTTGAAGATGATAGATAATTTTCTGGTCTTTTCCTTTTTTTTTTTAATGAACATACCAAGAACAAAAACCAAGTAAAATAGGCATTTGAAGTACTTATACTGCATCATGAGAAAGGACTTTTTTTGGTATTAAACACCTATTATATTCCATTTGAATACTAGAATGTTTCAGTGGAGAAGGATTTACCTAGAAATATTTGCTGACAAAGATTTTTTTTTAATCTGAATCTGTAGAAAATCACAGTGGCAGAATGCATAGAAACACAGAGTAAAGCAATGACAATGCTCACCATCGAACAGCTATCATATCTACTGAAGTTTGCACTACAGAAAATGAAACAGCCAGGGGTAAGGAAATTTTCGTTGTTTTTTCTTTAAATATTGGGGTCATATGTTTGTTGTAATCCTGGGTTTTCCTTTCTTTAGTGGATGATGAACCTAGTTTAGTTTATCAGATTGTGTGTGACAGCTTCTGTGGTGCCTGCCACCTGCCCTGCATGGGCAGATTAGCTTGGCTTCTAGAGACTGTTTTGGAGTGCATTTAAAATGTAGTTTTTCTGGATGTATTTTCAGTAGGTGTAGTGAAAATACGGTGTGGTTTTCCAGTGGAACATGGTTTCTCTCTCTGAAAGTGGACAGTGATGTCTCAGAGATACCAGGGGAATGAGGAGACACAGTCTCTTACCAATACAATTGTATGGACAGGAGCCCTAGGCCCAGACACTTATATTAATGATTATACTTGTTGAAAACATAGCTTCTATTTGCTAGTAGAAATGGTTCTTGCCACATAAGTTAGTTGTATCATATACTTCTAAAATGCTGAAGAAATTTTAGTGCCTGTGCCATTAACTTTCATGCAACATGAGGCTGCTGTCCTCTGAATCATGGAGGTAAAACTGGATTTCCTCCAGCTTTTACCTATCTCCATGCATCTGTCTCAGACTCCTGAAAATCACCATGCCTCCAAGTTTCAGCTATTCCAGTCACTCATTCTTGCTTCTAAGTTTTAACAATTCTTGTCACTTGTTCTTTGCCATGCAGGCTGTGCCTGGTCCTCACATGTATGAAGATAACAGTTGATCAAAATGTGATGTGATGAGTTATCTTAACTCCTGTTGCTCCCCTGTATGTAAGGTAGAGGAGCAGAGAGGGTGTCTCTGTGCCTGCAGGGTTGTAACTATAGAGTATGTTGGGAAAACTATGTGCAGAATCATGGGCTCTCTGCAGCTCTTACTTTCTGTGACAAGTATTTAAGCAGAACAATAGTGACAATTTCTTACTCTGCTGTACTGACAGATTTTGGCTCTTCAAATCCTGTCACTCTGGAGTGGTAAATACTATCAGATGGAGCCCTTAGAAGCTTTAAGTGCAGCTTTTCAGTGGCAAAGTGTCAGTTGTTTGTTTATATTGAATTCACAAAGTGTTTGGGAAATGTGGTTAGAAAGCTAATGTCTAATGAATGCTTTTGGGATGTTTTGCCCTTCAGGCATTTTACTAGTAACCTGTTGTGTTGGTATCAAGTCCTTTAATTGGTTTGGTCCAAGAATTGCAGTCCCTCCACATTGGCAGATATAGTGTGGAGTCCCTCTGAAAAAAGTTTGATTGTGTTTGCATTACCAAACCCTCATTGTTTTGAAAGTTGTGATTCTAATGAGAGTCAGGAAAAAAAGTATTTGTGAGTTGTGAATTGCAAATTTAGTGTCTTTATTCTTCTAAAAATGCTCTGCTGAGCCTCATCTAATAGTCCACACAAAAAACCCCCGACTGCAAATCATAACAGTACCTTTTATGAAACCTCTAATTTTTGCAATTCATTGTGTCCAGCATATGAAAAATCAGTCAAATGAGACCTTTTAGTTCCTGTTGTTCTGCTAATAATTTACTTCCTCACAACATTTTATAATTACCTTTGAAGGATTTTCTCTGATAACACAGTTGGAAGCAGTGTTAGAAAACGAGTGAGTATTGTGTCATTGCTGTAACTGTTTCCTATTAGTAAGCAGTGTGGTTTATTATTTCCCCTAACAGACAGAGCCATTTCAAAAGCCAGTTTCACTGGATCAACACCCAGATTATGCAGAATATATCTTTCATCCAATGGACCTTTGTACATTAGAGAAGGTTTGTATGAAGCTGACAGAGGAAGGTTCCTTGACTTTGATCTTTACTATCTGTAACATTTCTGAAGTGTTCAATGGCAGGGGAGAGAAGCTGCTTGAAATAATTTTGATGGGGTTTTTTTGTTAATATAAAAATCAGTTCAGTTGCAGCTAAATCATATGCCAGCTCAATAAATTCACTGTTTTGTCTGAACTGGTAGCAAATGCTCAGGAAAAACAGTATGAAAAAGACAAGCTTACACTGGTGACTTCCTCCAGTTAAATTCATCTAATTCCAGGAATGATCTCCAGGAGAGACTCCTTTAACCAGGGTTTGCATTTGATCATCATGTTTGTGGATCACTGGTTCATTAATCTGGGACCATTTGGTGTATATCCAGGGGTCATTCCAGACTCATTTAACTGATCATTCAGCAAATACTGTGATCTCCACTGCACTGAGGTGTAGAAGAAAAAAGAAACAGTCCGGAGGTGAATAATGGAACTTGCATTGTCCAGCCTGGCTTGAACAGTTCCAGGAGTCAGTTTTATTAATTGTCTAACTGATAGGAAACAATGTTGAGGAAGAAGCTGTCACTTTTTACTCATTTCTGTTTCCTGATACATTCTTAATTTCTTCTTTACAGAATGTTAAAAAGAAAATGTACGGTTGCACTGAAGCATTTTTGGCTGATGCCAAATGGATTTTGCACAACTGCATTATTTACAATGGGGGTAAGTATTGATGTCCTCAAATATGAAACTTTTAAATAGTTAAAGTTGTGGAGCCATTTGTAGACTTCTAGTTGGTAAGTGCTGAAAGTATCTTTGTTAATGAACAGGATGCCTAAACATATAACAGATTTTTTTTTTAAACAATTGGCATACATAAAACTGTAGGGCCAAATATAGCCTGTGCTGTTACTTGCTCATTCCACCTTAGGAAAAAAAAAAATCACGTAAGTTAAAATCACAGATGGTTTGGGTCCATAGAATCATTGAATGGTTTGGGTAGGAACAGACCTTAAAGATCCCTGGGTTCCAACTCCCAAGCTGCTGTAGCATTTTGCATTGTGCAGCACTTAATTAAGACCTAACTGAGAAGATCATACAGCGCATCCCTTACTGAAAGAGTGCCTTGTTGGGGGGAAGGCTTCCAAAAGGAGCATTTAAAGATTATTACAATGTTACATTGAGAAGGAAAGTGCTCCTGTCCTGCTTTTTCAAGCGTGTAGTTTATACATAGGTTTTTACATCATTTTTAGATGTTCTTTTTTGGTTTTATCACTAACTTTTAAATCTGAAAAATGTTGATTTTATCATAATGCTAGCATAACAATTTTCTTGGTTAAAGCATTTTATTGTTTCCTCAGGAAATCACAAATTGACACAGACAGCAAAAGTCATCATCAAAATCTGTGAGCATGAGGTGAGTGCCTCAATTAACTGGTCTGTGTTTTTAAAGTGTTCAATCTCATGTATTCTTGAGTGAAATAATATGTTTTCTTATGTGTGTATTGCAGAACCATAATTTTTTAGGCTTTCTTATTCACAGCCCAGAGAATGATGTCTGGCAAGGGCATTGCTAATGTGTCTTCCATTAGGATATTCACTATTTATAATTAAAAATTCTGGGAAGGGGAGGGGAGGGAAGAGAAGACAGTGGATATATGAATTCTGCACAAAGACAGGATTTGAGATGCTTCAGCAGTGCCCAGCACAGGGGCAGGGTCAGTGCCCTGGTCCTGCTGGCCACAATACTGCTGATACAAGCCAGGTGCCATTGGCCTTCTTGGCCACCTGGGAAATGGGGATTTATACCCACAAATTTGTGGAAAAATGGTGCTAGCAAACTAGACAGGCTAACATAATAGTACTTGTGACTCTCTTTAATCTCTCCAGTAACTTTGCTTTTTGGTTTCAGATGAATGAAATCGAAGTTTGTCCGGAATGTTATTTAGCTGCTTGCCAAAAACGAGAAAATTGGTTTTGTGAGCCTTGTGTAAGTTGAGGATTATGGTAGTCTGGCTACTATAATGAACCAGTAGTTCTCCTTTCACTGTTGCTGTTATCCCCTCTTTGTTTTAAACCTGTGGTGGTTACTGAGTTGAGGGAAGCTGCTGTAGTTCACCAAATAGCTTGTGCAACGTGTTCGTTGTGGAGTCAGACTCTCAAGATGTTTTCACAAAAGGATTGGTTCCATCAGAAATAACTGTAAAGGGTGTCAGCAGCCAGTTCAGTACTCAAGTTATCTGTCCTCAAATATAAGATAATTGCTCCTGTGTCATTTGTGCTTGCCCGTGGTGCCAGCACTCCGGGAGGGTTTCTGAAGTGTGAGTGTCTCTTTCTGTAGGTGTGTGAGAATTTAGACTCAATTTTTCTTCTGTGACCTCTTTTCTGTTTAATAGAAGTGTATAATCCATCAAGTTCTTTCTTGGACTATCCTGGTTTCAGCTGGAATAGAGTTCATTTTCTCCTTAGTAGCTGGCACAGTGCTGTGTTTTGGATTTAGTATGAGAATAATGTTGATAACACACTGATGTTTTGGTTGTTGCTAAGTAGTGCTTACCTGAAGTCAAGGACTCTTCAATGTCTCATGCTCTGCCAGGACACAGAAAATTAATGAAAATTAATGAAAATACATGAAAATTAAGAGCATTTCAAAGATTGACCCTAGCCTAACTTACACGTTTGGAGGGGACTAATAAAAAATAAATGTATAAAGAAGTGCAATTGCATTGAGTTTAGTTGAGACATGTAAGGTTTTATGTTTTGGTTTTCTTTTAAATATAATTTTATCATTTTGTTCTCTCAGGATTTATATGTATGTAGTAAAATGGAGTCTTGTATTTGGCAAGTGCCTTGAGCATGTTGGATCTTTATTGAACCTAAGTAACGTATACAATTTTAAAAAAAAAATCATGTTTATTGTCAGATTTGAAGGTAGTACTACTTGCATTTTCTGACTGTGTGTTTTGCCTCTTCCTCTAGAGCAATCCCCACCCTTTGGTCTGGGCTAAACTCAAAGGCTTTCCATTCTGGCCTGCTAAAGCACTGAGGGATAAAGATGGGCAAGTCGATGCCCGTTTCTTTGGCCAACATGACAGGTGGGAGTTTAACCAGAGGATGCCTTTGGCTGTGCTTAAAAAATTCCTGTGGTAATTTTGTGCACTTAAGAGCTTTTGTATCCTGTCTTTTGAACCTTGACCCTAACAAACTCTGTAATAATGTAACACACACAATTTTAGTTCCTTACATGATGTCTGTAGAATGTGAGCCGTGTTTGTAAGATTGGTACATACATAATCTGGTGAGTATGCAGGTTAATTCCTGTGTCTGTGGTGTGCTGTGGAGAACTGTAGGTTCTTTGAAATGATCTGAGGTGTGCATATCTTTATGATCAGGCTAAAATAAATTAGTATGTGCACAAAAGTTGCCAATGTCAATCCAGAGTGTGAAATATATTATATTTTTCTGTTTTATATGTAGGGCCTGGGTTCCAATAAATAATTGCTACCTCATGTCTAAAGAAATTCCTTTTTCTGTGAAAAAGACTAAAAGCATCTTCAATAGTGCAATGCAAGAAATGGAGGTTTATGTTGATAACATTCGTAGAAAATTTGGAGTATTTAATTACGCACCTTTCCGGACACCATATACTCCCAACAATCAATACCAAATGTTGTTAGACCCTGCAAACCCAACTGCTGGAACTGCAAAGACGGACAAACAAGAGAAAATCAAACTGAACTTTGATATGACAGCATCACCCAAGATTCTGATGAGCAAGTCTATGCTGAGCAGCAGCACAGGCCGTAGGATTTCACTGACAGATATGCCACGGTCACCAATGAGTACAAACTCATCAGTTCACACTGGCTCTGATGTTGAACAGGATGCAGAGAAAAAAGCAACTTCCAGTCATTTTAGTGCCAGTGAAGAATCCATGGACTTTATTGAGAAAAATACAGGTAAAAAAAAAAAACAACAGTGGGATACAGGACTTGGTAATGCACTAGTTCTATTCCATGTACTTTTTAAAGACAGGCTGCATTATGACTTGGGTTATGAAGAAATTTTAGAAAAAAAGGTGTTTAACTTCCAGTATCGCAGATAAGAAACATCAGTTTTCTCTGTCAGGTTGAGAATTAATAAATAATCTTGAAAAGTGACCAAACCCTTTCAGGTTAAGTAGCAGAAAATAGTTGTAATTATCAAAATGAATGGAGAGTGGAAGTAAATACAGAAAGAGTTAGAATTGTCACGATTAGGAGGTATTCTAGTTTTAAATCTGTCTTTATTAATTTTCTACTTTTTCAGCTTCTCCAGCACCAACGAGAACAGGGCAAGCAGGGAGCTTGTCAGGCAGCCCCAAACCTTTCTCTCCTCAAGCATCAACACCAATTTCTTCTAAGCAAGAAAGAACCTCCACTCCAGGAAGCATTCTGAATCTTAATCTTGGTTAGTCTTGACCTTTGAAAACCTAATACTCTTATAGCTGAACAAATTGTGGTGGTGTCAGTGCAACGTAATATGAACAAACTGACTGGTATGTGGCTTTAAATGAGGCACATTTGTAATTGTTGTTTCATCAAATTTGCTGGGGGTGATTTTGTTTTGTTTTATTAAAGGGAATTTCTGTTATTGTTACTTTGTGTTGATAAGAAGTAGTTGAAGAATGTTTGGGTTTTTTTGCTGAACTGTACCAATGAATGTTTCTAAACAGTAGGTAAGTTTCTAAAGGTTGTAATTACTCTTCACCCATCAGTTTCTCAAGTGAATTGCTGGCAAGGTTTTCTTATGATCTTTGGGATTTGGGATTTACTAAAGCTTCTTCGGTCTTGCTGCCTTCACATCACCTCCTCACTGACCATCCCTCTCTAGGGAGATAGATGGATAAAGGCAATTAGCAATGTTTCTTGATGTCTTGAAACTCCCTAGAAGGAAAGTTTGGGATTGCGGAATTTTGAAAGATGGAGTAGGTAAGTTCTGAGTTGGTAAAATAGTTTTGAAAGCCAAACAGGTGTAACTCAGTGTCCTCAGCTGTGCTTTGTTCCTGTGAGTGTTCTGATTCAGTTCTGGCTGCTTTTTACCTCCCGTGATATTACCCAGAGAAACGAGATTCTGCCCCTCAGGATTGGCCAGATATTTCAGGAAGGCTTGAGTTCAAATGCTGAATTATGTCTTCACTGCCTTACAGATATTCTGATTCCAGATACAAGCCCACAAGTCTGTTTTTCAGCATGTTAATCTGTCTGTGTGGACATAATCATAGAATTAATTTCTCCTGCTGCACTGCAGCTGTTTGTTGTCTCATCTGGGGTGACATTGCATTTGGAAAAACATCAGGAAATCTGTAGTGCTGCAGTTGTTTGAGCCACAGGTGGGAGACATCAGCTGGAGCATATAACATTTTGAGTAAAATGTTATGGTCCATGAGCAATATCATAAAAGAACTGCTTGAATGCTTTCAAGTAGAGTATCAGTTATGTTTTCAGCTTTGGGGAATTTCCTTTGCTAAATATACTCTGGTGATAGGAATGAAAATGGCAACCCCTCTTCGTTTGTGTCAGCTGTGCCAGACTTGGATTCTTGTGTGAACCTAATGATTCTGTGATTTAATTATTGTGTCTCACTTCCTGTGTAATGTGAACGTGGTTTCTCTCTGCAAAAACAGAAGTGAAAGTCCAGAAAACAAAGACTCTTTGTGTCTTTAGCAGAGTGCTGGGAGGACTCTGGGATCCTGCTGTTCAAACTTGTAAAGGATGTCTGGTCAGAAGACTCATTGGCTCAGCCCTTTGTATTTATGTCACTGACTTGTACATCAACAGATTATGTCTTGTAAATATATATATTTTTTAAAGTAAAATAAGGCAATACTGTGCCACATTTAACTGCTCTGGAATGAAACTTTAAACAAAGCACAAATGCACATTGTGCCAGTGTTACCTTTTGTCTTCTCCATGGCCTCTGGCCTTTCCCAGCATATGGCACTGGCTCTTTTCATCCTACCATGAGCCAGTTCAAGGAGTTAAACTCACCAAATGTAATTCTTCTCTTTGTTCCTTCCCCCTTCTTCATGTGCCCTTCCTCTTCCACCAACTAACTCCAGCTGGTTTAGTGCCCTGAGCACTGATGCACTCTTGGCAAAGAGTAAAATAGGACTATGCCACAGGGATACAGTCTCTGAAATGGAAAAATTGAAGCAAAAATGTGAAACTTAGTTGCTAAGACAATTTTAGCTTTAGCCCTCTAGTATGTGCTCTTTGCACACAGTTATGTGTGTTCCAGAGTGAAAATTCTCTACTTGTAGATGAAAACTCAAGATTTTGCTGACATATATTAAAAACTGTATTATTTTATCTTTAATTTATTAATCTATCCAGTGTAACAATTTTTATATGTATTCTCACAACTTAACTTTTGGATTTTAAATGGTGACTGTAAGGATTTTTATTTCTATTTAATTTTCTCTGAAAATACTGCTACTAATAGTAAATAGCAGCAGTAGTTTAGCAGGGGTGCTGTCAGACAGCTTACAGACCTGAATGGTGATTTCTTGATAATTTCGTGTTGATGGAGAAAATCTCCATGTAATCGATGCTCACATTTTGTGTCAGAGAGGAAGAATCTGTTGTTTTTAGTAAAGTCATTTTAGAATTATTATTTAGCCCATAATTTTAGAAGAAGCAAAATACATTTCAGGTCATCCTCGGTGAAATTTACCTTATCTGGATAGTGATCTCTGTTCCTTTGGTAAAATCTTTTTTCTCAGTTTCTGTTTCTTTTTTTCTAGACCGTAGCAAAGCTGAGATGGATCTGAAAGAGCTGAGTGAGTCAGTCCAGCAGCAGAGCACTCCTGTGCAGCTCATCTCCCCCAAACGACAGATCCGGAGCAGGTTCCAGCTGAACCTGGACAAGACAATAGAGAGCTGCAAAGCACAACTTGGTAAGTGTGTCCCTCAAGAACACAGTGGGCACCTGAAGGATACACTTGAAAAAAAATTCTGCAATGGAGGTTAAAATAAGTTTTGGACTAGTAAAACCTTAAATATTTTATGTGTTAAAAGAAGAGTAGATGAGAAGTGAAATTTTTGAGGCAAGTAGAGTGCACTGAACTAGTTTAAAACACAGTGAGACCTGATGTTTCAGATTTTTGGCAGCAAGCTTTCATCTTTTAATCTGTTTTTGTACCATTCTGATGTAGGTAGCATGACAGGATTATACTCTTACTATTTGCTTTGTAAACTGAAAAATTGGAGAATTGTACCCAAATTCTGTCAGCTGCACAAATTAGGATGTAAGTAAGTAACTGTCATCAGGTAAATGGTATTAGTGATTTTTAAGGTGGTTTCTTGTCGATAAAAAATAAGTCCTCTTTGCATTTGCCAGCATTGGGTCCTGAGTTGGACAAAAGAGCTTGCAGGTGGTGGAAAAAAGCAGTGAAAGGAGGGCTATTGAATGAAATACAAATATTAATTGGAGTATGTGGAGATTGATTCTTACACATTGTGGTACTGAGACGGGGCACTAAGTTTGTAGCTTAAGGACTGAGAGTTAAGATAATGGTATGTGCACACTTTGTTCCAGCATATGGAGGTGTTTTTTTTTTTGGTAATTTCAGTCAGTCTGATGTCAGCATGGAATGTACTTTCCTTCCCACAATTAGGAATAAATGAAATATCTGAAGCTGTTTATACTGCAGTAGAACACAGTGACTCTGAAGATTCTGAAAAATCCGACACCAGTGACAGCGAATACAGTGATGAGGATCAGAAATCAAAGAATGATCAAGAAGATGGTGAGGACAAGGAAGGTACAAGAAGTGACAAAGAATCATTGAGCTTGAAAAAAAAACCTAAGCCCCCAGCACAGAATGAAGACAAGGAGGAACTTAAAAGCACAAGTCCAGAAGTGGAGAAAACAGAAGAACCGGTCAAGGAAAAGTCCATTTCAGACACTGAAAAAGAATTTTCCGAAAAGGGAAAAAGTTTACAGCATCCTGCAAAAGAAAAGCTGAAAGGTAAAGATGAAACAGACTCTCCAACTGTGCATCTAGGACTGGACTCTGATTCTGAGAGTGAACTTGTCATCGATCTAGGAGATGATCATTGTGCTCGTGAAGGAAGGAAAAACAAGAAAGAATCTAAAGAACCTTCTCCCAAACAAGATGGTAGGATGAAATTCTTCCTTTTTTTTTTCTCCTGTTCTGTAGAGCTGTTACCTAAGACAGAATTGTTACCTTTATTTTTGCATTAAGATAAAAATCTGTACTAAAACAATTTTCAGGAATGATTTTTCATTCTTTGTGACTGTGAAAAAAGGGCAGGACCCGTCACTTGGCCTTATTGAACCTCATGCTGTTGTCCCCAGCCCCTCAGTCCAGTCTGTCAAGATCTCTCTGCAGAGCCTTCCTACTCTCAAGCAAATCAACTTTCCCACCCAACTTGGTGTCATCTGCATTTGGTTGTCAGTGCCAGTTGACCATTGTTCAGAAAGTTTTTAGTGCCCTATTCCTTCAATTACTGCTCAGTCATTGATACTTTAGAATGCATTTTTCTCCTGATAGAAATTGGGATGACAGGTGTAAATGGTAACCCAGAAACATCCTATCAAGTGCTAACCTCTCACATAAATTCAGAGGAGGTCAGGCTGGTTTTTCTGGGTTTTGTACTTTTTGTTTTGCTTTGCTTAGTTACTGATGCATCTGAACTGCCACCACCTTCAACTAGGCTGAAATGACTTGTAGTGTATCAACGACTTTTGAGGAAATTAATTCCAAACCAGACTTTAAGGTATATATGGCTCTTCCAAAAAGAAGATGGAGAACCATGAATCAGATGTGTTTGTGAAAAGCTGGTGTAACATTTTATGTTTGTTTAGTTGTAGGTAAAACTCCACCCTCCTCCAGTGCAAGCACTCAGCCTCTACCAGAAACTCCAGTCCTCACCCGTTCTGCAGCCCAGACCCCCCCAGCTGGTGTGACAGCAACCACGAGTGCTGCTTCCACTGCCAGTGCTCCATCTGCAGCCACAGGGAGCCCTGTGAAAAAGCAGAGGCCTTTGCTGCCCAAGGAAACTGCCCCTGCTGTGCAGCGGGTGGTGTGGAATTCTTCCAATAAATTCCAGACATCTTCTCAGAAATGGCACATGCAGAAGGTACAGAGGCAGCAGCAACAGCAGCAGAGCCAGCAGGCTCAGTCACAGCAGCCTCAGTCCTCTCAAGGGACGAGATACCAGACAAGACAAGCAGTTAAAGGTACACACTTTCTAACCCAATGTGCCTGTGGTGCCTTAATTCCCCAGTAGTGATCTCAGTGCTCCAAGGCTGCCCAACCAGGAGTTCTTCCATATTAACAAAATCTCACAGTGTGGTTCTACTCTGATAAGTTACTTTAAAATACAGCAACTTACTCACCTGCTCTTTCTGGTGTGTATTTAGAGTCATGTCTCTGTGTTTTAATGAGAGAAAACTTGTGTGTGTGTCTGTGTAAATATTTTTTTGCTATTCTTAGCCATCAGAGATTTGGAAGAGTGAACTGAATTAAATTCTGGGCTGTAAGATAAAACCATTAACTGTTCTACTTGCATGTTTACCACTCAGTATGTACAAATTGCTTCCAGTTTTATCTGACAAGAAGCTGATCTGAATGGTTTTCCAGAGTATAATTTGACAACAATGAAATTACCCAGGCTCTGTTTGTCTTTGAAATCCCTGTTGTTTAACAAGACTTTGATGGTAGTTTACTGAACAAACAGCCCTGGAAATTTAGACTGTTTTCTCAACTGTTTTCTTACCACCCCTTTGCCTGAGGTTTCACTAATAGCAGGCACAGGGTAATACAAGCCCATGCTGCTGTTGCCTCACTTCACAGAACAGCAACTTTATGTAAATTAGCTTCCCTTGTAATTTCAAGTTAATAAAGTGAAATGTTTACTGCTGTGCCTGATGAATAGACATTCTCCCCTCTGCTAAAACCACTGGCATGCTGGTGATTTCATAGAGAAGAGAGGTTTAGGTAATGGCTCACATACAGATGTTTATCAGAGGCTCATTTCTCTGGTCCCTTCTGTGCCTGCCATTTAAGCAGGGTTGAGGAAGTGGTATCTTCCTACTTGCAGACGGCACAAATTTGATACAGAAAATATTCAGTGAGGAAAAAGAAATGTGAAATTTGGTGAAGTCTTATTTTTAATAGAATCATACTTTCATTCACACCTTAATAATATGGAAATGTTGAAGTCTAACTTATATGTGTGCTATTAGTAGGGAGCTTTCCAGATTGAAAAGTTAGGGAGGGGCTTCATAAGGAAGTGGGATAGAAAAGTCCCAAGATGGGAGGAATAAAGAACTGAGGAAGACTTTTGCACTGGCCAGTCTGAAATCATAAGTTTCAAAGTTACATTTGCTTTATTACCTTCAAACTTTGCAATTATGTGCAAGTTCCGTGGCTGGGCACTGTATAATTAATCATTAGGTGGCACCACTGTATAAGTAATGCAAGTCTGAAATGGTTATGTGCACACAGTTAAGTCTGATATCGAAGTTAGAAGTTTGCCCGTTTATTTTCATAATTTCTTACGTGATTGATCCACTCAATGTTCTCTTTTTTTTTAGCTGTGCAGCAAAAAGAGATCACCCAGAGCACTTCCACGTCCACTATAACCTTAGTCACAAGCACTCAGCCTATTTCTATGGTTACCAGTTCTGGATCTGCAAGTACACTTTCTTCCTCACTAAACACAGACCTGCCCATTGCAACAGCTTCAGCTGATGTGGCTGCAGATATTGCTAAATATACCAGCAAAGTAAGTTCCTCTGTAAGGTTTCCTTGAAATTTGATTTTGTGAAGCGAACTAATTCTGAAATAACTTTATTTTCAGGTTGTCATATGTTGCAAATTCATCCTACTAGGTAGGAACAGCCAGATTTTGGTGAGAGTGCAGAACTATATATTTAGACCTGTCTTAATGCTGCCATTCCAAGCCAGAGGGTGTGAGAGGGGCTTCAGCTGCTCAGGCACTTCAGACCCTCTCCTTCCCATGTTCTGCTGCTTCTTATTTATGTTACATTGTGGTTTGGAGCATTTTCTGTGTTTTCTCCTAAAGGTGTAGATGTTCCCCCAGCATCATATTTACAGTAAACAGTATTTTGTCATCTGTGTTCAGCAGAACATAAAGAGAGTTGTACTTTTCTTTTAAAACACTGTATAACTTCATCAGTTGGTAACTTGTCATAAATGTGTGTCCATGCATTAAAACAGACACTAAGTGTTAAAGAGAAGGGGTGGTGTAGTACTTGTGTCATGACAGTGACAGTGAGGGAAGAGACATTGGCTTTCCATATAGTCTCTTAGATCTTTAAATTAAAAAAAAATCAATTTGAATACTATGTATTTTTACATTGCATTTCTTTCCCCAATTCATGGTTATATATTTTTTGTTCATAAATTACATCAGTAGCAATTTCTTAGAAAAGTAGAAAGTCAAGCAGTTTACCAGTTTAGGATTAAAAATCAGAGTCCTGCTCAAAATATTGTGTTTTACCTTCTACATAGTCCTCTAAAAGTAGACCCAGATAAATATATATATATAGATAATACATTGTTGATAGCAATATAAGCTCACATTAGAGTAGTTGAAAAGAAGTGAAAGTGGGAATCTATTAAAAATATATATCAAAGAATTATTTTTTTCCTTTTATCTTTCAGATGATGGATGCCATCAAAGGAACAATGACTGAAATATATAATGATCTTTCAAAAAATACTACTGGAAGTACAATAGCTGAGGTTAGTGTAACATTAAAAAAAAAGTTTGCATTTTAACTTCTGAAAGTTGCAAATTAGTATTTTTATTTATATATATAAATAAAAACGCCACATAACTATATCTGCAAAGTATTATATATGGAGACTGGCAAGAGATCCTAATTTCTGTGATGTTTTAGAAGTGCTGATTAGAGTGGTAGAGAAAGACACTGAAAAAATACCAGATTCCAGTCAGAAATTTAAAACTTGGCAATTTCAGAGGAAGCAAGAGCAAGTTTAATAGAAGTTCTTTTTGTTTTCAAACAATCCTGTGCTCTTCATGATAAGCAAATCTAGCAGACAAATATTCAGAATACTTCAGACTTTTGTTTGGGGCTTATTATGGTCTTGTCCTCATGTTAATATGAAGGAACCTTGATATAAATAATGATCAGGCTCATTTTTTTGGGCATCGGTTTTTGTATAATTATTATTATTGTGTAATTATTATACACCCTCTTTATCACTACTGACTATTAAATTTTTAATGTTTAGATTCGGCGTTTGAGGATCGAGATAGAAAAACTTCAATGGCTACATCAACAGGAACTCTCAGAAATGAAGCATAACCTAGGTATGGAAATGACAGTCCAAAACAGTGTCAGGTTTTGTCCTACACAGAAAGTGGAAATGCTTGAACTATGTATTACCTTCATCACATGATGCTACGAATTGTTGACAGAACAGAAAACCATTTGTATTGTTCTGTGCTGATGTTAGTGCACACTTTTGGAGTCTGAACCCAAAGTTACTTTATCTGTGCATGAGCAGGAACAGCTGTTCAGCCCTCTGAGACAAATTCAGGCTAAGCTGTTGATGGGCAGAATGACTATTTTATGCATCAGTGGATAATCCCTCTTCTTGAGATATTTTATACTGGTTATTTTCTACTAATTCTCATAGGAACCAGATTCTGTTAATATAGCCAATTTATAGACTGTAGCTGGCATTTTTTTTCCTATCAACTGTTGGTGTATGGGCTTTATTTATTTAAAGTGAACAGACAACCCTGATTCAGTCTTGGTGCCAGACTGTCAGTGGAATGAGGTCAAAATGCTCCCTTAAACAGATAAAAGAATATTCCTCCTAGGAGGGGGATTTTCATCTCTACATTCACTCAGCCATATTGGCAGGAAATGACACTCTGATTAAAATGTGATTCTTCTTAAATTATCTTTTTTAATGCACTGACAGTGGGAAGAAGGTTGCAGTTGTGTGATGAAGTCTCGTTTAACCTACACACAGTCCAAGCAGCCTTAGTGTCCTCATCCACTTTGAGAGTCTCCTTTTTGCAGAGCACATCTGGAAGTGCATTAAGGGTTGATTAACTCCATACTCAGACTCGTGTCTCTGGTTCATTAGTAACATTTTGCTCTTTCAAATCAGGGTAGACCAGTTTTTCCACTGCTGCAGTCCAGTGATAACATTCTTCAGACTCACTTGGGTATGGCAACAACTCATCTGCTGTTCACAGAGCTGAATGTCTAAGTGTGCTCAGAAATAAAAGGAAAATTCTTGAAACACTTTGCCACCAGTCTGAAGCTACTGATTTAAGTAAAAAACTTTATTGGTGTTTGGAAAGTTTGTCAACTGGAGAGTTTTTCAGAAGACTCGAAGATTCACCCCGAGTCAAGGTGGCTGGAGCTGGAATGCTTTATTTGTATTTACCCACTTTCTTGAGGATTCTGTTAAGGCATTTCACTCCAAGTCTCCCACAGTGACTGAGATATCAATTTATAACTGCATCAGTAATGGGTGGCTCTCAGAGCAATCCTGAAGTAAGGCTCAAATTTACCACTTTATTCACGTAGCCATGAGTTTTTACATCTTTGTTGGTGTCCCTCTTGGAACTTTCACATTTTTTTGTAAAGAAACCAAGATATAATGACCATATGAGACAAGAGAATAAATATAATTTTCTGAATATCGGAGCAGAACAAGTCTAGGCTTGTAAAGACAAAGTATGTTAGCAGCTGCATATGTCCTTTTTGTGTTTATGCTGGGTTCTGGTCCCTTGTGGGACATGTAGAACTGAAGTGTTAAAGAAATGGAAGGTAATGGTTAGGGGTAAAAACCTTGGTGCCAGAATAAGAAAAGAAGATGGAAGTCTTGCATTTGTGGAGTAGGTATGAAACAGAGGTGCCCAGACTCGGGGGATATTTTGATTATCAGCTGTAATTTCATCTTGTGTTTAAATTCATGAATATTACTGGTTTGCACTTTGCTGTTGTGGGGTGCAAAATGCAAACCCACCTTTCTCTGGATTTGGAGCAGAACTGACAATGGCTGAAATGCGTCAGAGCCTGGAGCAGGAACGAGATCGTTTGATTGCTGAGGTGAAGAAGCAGCTGGAACTGGAAAAGCAACAAGCAGTGGATGAAACCAAGAAGAAGCAGTGGTGTGCCAACTGCAAGAAAGAGGCCATCTTCTACTGCTGTTGGAATACCAGCTACTGTGACTACCCCTGCCAACAAGCTCACTGGCCTGAGCACATGAAATCGTGCACACAGTCAGGTAACGGTGCTCTGGGCTGCCTGTGTCCCACCTGAGGGGTTGGGGTGGGTGGGTGGGTACACAGGGACCCCTTTCTTCATGTGCAGATGTGCCTGTGAGGAGGGACTGGACTGGTTCACAGGAGTTGTGGCTACTTTCTCTTTTTTTCCCCTTTATTTTAGCTACTGCGACACAGCAAGAAACAGATACTGAAATTAGCACAGAAACACTAAATAAATCATCCCAACCCAGTTCAAGTGTGCAGTCTACACCCACAGAAACAGCCAGCACCCCTAAGGAAAAGGAAGGTTCAGCTGATAAAAGCAAAGAGAGTGTTACAGTGAGTATCATCACTTCAAACAAAAATAATGTGTAAGATTTCTCTGAAACCTCCCCCTGAAGGCTTCCCTGGATAAGGCAGGATTTTATGACTATTTGCATATTTCAGAGAGTGTGTTTGGGGAATCATAGAGAGTTGTGGTTTTTATTCTTCGTCTTGTCAAAAAAAAAAAAAATCTCCTTCTGTCCTCTGAGAACACCCTTTCCCCATCACTTATTCCCAGTAAAACCTTGTGTTGGCTTGACTCATCCTTCCAGCCAAAGGGGACTGGACCTCTTTCTCTCTCTCTCTCCAGGATCCATCAGTGTAGCTTCTGGTCTGGATCTTTCGATACAAGTTGCCTTCTGATAAGCAATACTGACTGCAGCACTTCCAAGCCCTTCTTGCCTGGGGGTTCAGAGGCCAAGCTCAAGACCTGCATTCAAATCAACTTACTTTATCACCACAGACTGTCATTAGGGTACCACAATGTTCCATAACACTGATACAACAGTTCACCTGGATCTACGGTTAACGGAGCAGTTCCGAAATCCTCCATAGCATCTACTCTGATAGTATTCAGTAGGCAAGGATGAGCAAATGCTCTAATAAAAGGGACTTAACATTGCATATATAGAAAATGTTTATAGAGAAGAATCTGCTTTATAGGTAGGGCTTGACTATTAGCAATTTCGGCATCATTTTTTTTTTCTCCCCTTGCAAGATTTATTAAATGAAAAATTTTAGTGGGGGGGGGGGCTGATCCTTCAAACCCTTACACGTGATCCTGCACATCAGTAGGAGCCTTGTTGTATTTTAAAATATTAAAGGCAAACTAATTTTGTAGTATTGTGATTCCAGCATGATGTCTCATTGAGATAGTCCTGTAGAATTGGGAAGCATAGTAATCTAGAGAGCTGTGTTCATTTCTTGACACTTTTGCTACTGTCTGGTGTTAGATCTCTGGGCTTGACATGTCACCTAAGGGAGTAACTTGGGGAAACAGATTTGAAGAGGGGGAAAAAGGATGTGCTGTTCCACTTGAATACTTTGATGAAGTTGGTTAAACTCTGGCTCATTCAGTTGATGTTTGTTTGCATTGTTCTGGTGGCACAAGCTTTATATTACCGGGGAAATAGGGAATGTGAGACCTAAAGCTTGCCAGGGAATATTCCAGTTATACAAATCTGGAATTTCACATAGGTGTTCTACCTGAAACATCATGCTGTATACATGGATCATGTTCACAATATGAATTTTGTTTTATTAACAAAGAAGTAACCTGTGAATTCATTGAGATGCAGATTTTTAACATAAAGAAAACATCCAACATAAATTTTCTATCGTAGTAACAACAACTAGGTGGAATTTATGTAAAAGCTGAGGCTTCTACTGAGGTTGCCCGTGCTGTCTCTGCAGATAGCAACAGGTGTGACAAGCAACCAGCCTATAAAACTGGTCCAGGTACCACAGACCACCACCTATATTCCAACTACTCAACCCACAATTGTAAGTACAACATCATAATTTAAAGTCTGCAGCAGCACCGTGCCTGGCATTAAAACTGCTCAGTATCTCTGGGGGGTTGTCTCTGTCTGCTCTTCTATCAAGGGATGAATTCACTGGTAGAGTCTCGACTTGCAGTGCAAAATGTCTTCTTTTGCTGTGCAACATTCCACCCCTTCATTCCATTCATGATTGCAAGGATCCAGAGGTTGTTAAGTCTAGTGAAGGCACTGAGGACAGGCAGATGCCATTTCACATTATTGGTTCATTTCATGTATATACTTGACCACAACATCAATGTAAATATATAGAATTCATTTTAAATATCTTTTAAATATCTTTTTGTCTATGGTATCCTAAAGAGATTTAATTATTTCTGAGCTATGCTTGATATTCCTGTGACATCTCAGTACCTATAAAAGAGAATATGCATTTGTCAGCAGTGTCTCTGCCATGGAGTCTTGCACATTAGTGTTACAGAATGATGAGAAATTGCATTGGAATCAGACCTTTTTTTTTTTCCCATCAAAGGCTTAAGGACAGCTGAATTCCCTAGTGTCAGTCAAAGGAGATGGGACAGAAGTAAGTTTGATTTTTGTATTTAATGCACCATAAGAGCCCATTATTTCAGCTGGTTGTGCTCTGCAGGGCTCACGTCAGTCAGTGTGGCCCCTGAGCTGGCACTGCCCTGGTCCCAGCGCTGCCTCAGGTGGGGTTCAGCAGGGGAGCCCACGTGTGGGTAACTTCAGTTCATTTCTGACTTCAATCAGATCATTTATAACAATAACTATGTACTGTTTTAACAGTGTACCCTAACCACACTGTGACTGGGAGGCCTGATGTGCTGTCCAAGTCCCTCTGTCTGTCTCTCTCCTTGTGCACCCCCTACCAGCTGCAGGACACACCTGTGTGTGTGTCAGTGAATACACCACATGCACGAGGACAGAGAGTGTTTCACAGCCATCATATTCCACACAAACTTAGTGGGGATCGTGCTCTTAGTGGGGATCATCACATCCCACATTCCTCACAGCATTTTAACTCCACTCCCTTGGTCTCAACTGAGAGCACTGTGCACCTTTGCAGCATTGGCCCTGAGTTGCTTGGACTGAATTACCATTAACAACAAGGTTTTATATGTGTTTAAAAATCCAACAGCAGACATCAAAGGCGTTAGGCTTTTTTTTTTGTGAAGAGCTGTGAGGCTGTAAGATCCTAAGGTGGTTTTGTGTAATCAGAAAAATGGCAGTTACTTTCATAGGTTTTCTGTAACACAAAGTGTACTGAAGTTATGTAAAGCAGAATTGGAAGGTCTGAAAGGTTTCCAACTTTATTTGTGCATGTTTATAACTTTGTACACATTTGCATTAGTCTTGCACAGCTACAGACACCTCTGTATTCTAATGACTGCACGTGCAATTTAAATGATTTTAAACCTTAGTGCATGTTTAATATGTATGCAAAATGTACATATGTGTAAAACTGGCAGAGGTGGAAAATTTACCTCTCAGGGAATGATCTTAACACATTTAAGGAGTCTCGCACATTCCATATTCTGATCGCGCTAAGAACTGAAACTTAATTATTTTCATGTGTGTAAGTGTGTATATTTAAAAGGCGACTGTGGCAACCTTAATTTCCCCACCTCTAGTACTGACAGTGACTTACATAATGGCTTCTTTAGGGTTCAGTTTGCACTTTGTGTCCAACTAGGAATTCCTTCCTCTGAACAACTCCCAGTGTATCTTCTGGGCACCATTTCCATGGAACCCTGTACACGCATCTGAAATCATTACAAAATGGCAGTAATCTGGAATTCATTCAGAAAATTGGTTCCATGTTTGGTTTTGATTCTTCCTGCAGTTAAAATAATGTAAAAATATGAATCCATCATCTTTGCATTCCAGGGGATGGAACGAGTAGGCTTCTGGAAGGCACAGACTCTGTCTTTGTGGAATACTATTAAGACACTCGTGTGGTTTCTTGAATCAGTGTGGGGAAACATTGGGCTTCACTGAACTTGTATTTCTTCTTCTGTGTTCTCTATGGAATGTCACACTACCACTGGGGGAAGATCTGTGCATCCCTTTCAGGTTCCTCAAAGTCTCACTCCCTGTCTCTTCCACAAGATGTTGTGAACTGAAATGGATGCGTTTGTTTGATCACCAGTTGTGCATCACTGGAATTGTATTGGAACATCCTTGCAGTTTGTATGGTAGAGACATTTCTAGACTTTCTCACGTTTTTGGAGGAAGGTTAAGATACAGACTTAAGGTTCAATAAATCCTTTTACAGATCTTCCAGAGTGATGTGACCTTGACCAGATTGTTTAACATTCTTGTGCCTTTGTCTCTGCATCTGTAGAATCAATTACCACCTATAGAGATGTCCTGAAACTCCATTTGTCGAGATGTATAAATCATGATCTGTATGATGGAAGTGAAAAGTTTATTCTATATTAATATTTTTACAGGGTGTGTAAGACAGTTCCCAGTAATGCTGATGTTTTTGCTATTGATTTGTGCAAAAGTTAACTTAAGTACTTTTTTTGTTCAGATGGATGTTCTTTGTTCTCTTCTGTGTAGACTGAATGCATGGGGGAAATAGTTCCTTTTGGGGAAAAAGATTTAAGTAATGTGTAACAAGAATATACTTATAAACAAGGGTATTTTTGTACTCCAGTTTGATTTGTCAAAAACTTTTTCAAATGACAAAGGATTTTCTTAGCCCTTTTTCCTCTTCCCATGTATTAGTTTGCAGAAAATACGTAACTGGATGTAATTCTGAGACCCTCACTCTCCAAGCACAGACAGCGTGTACAGTCCCTATAGCACCTCCTGTCCCTGTAATTCTATAGCAGTAACAAGAACACACACAAACTCTTGGCTATAGGGAAGTTAAAACACTACTTTGTCCCCTGGAACGAGGTAATACTGCGGTTATAAAGGTATTAGTTCCTGCACAAAATTGGCACTTGTTCTGGATTTCCCCTGGAAGATAAATCTCTATTTCTGTGGTCATGTTTATGTGACCTTTAACATAACAATCTGTTTCTCTTGGTTTTAATCCACAGACCATTCCTGTAGTGGTAAGTCCTTCTGCTGGGACAGTGGCAATGAGAACTGGAGTTCAGTATGTTCAGACCACAATGCCAGTCCAAGTACGAAGAGTCTAACTGCTAACAAGAAGTCCATACAATTGTTGGAATAAATAAGTCTAATAGAAATGTGAAAAATAAACACAGTTCTTTGGATTAACCTCAAAGGTTCAGACTTTAGCTTTGTGTATGTGTACAAAGCATTAATTACACTACATTAATGTAAAGCATTAGTGCTGGCTTAGAAAAGCTGAGGACAGGTAAGATCCATATTAAATCTATGCTTCTTTTGTAAATAATGTACAATTTGTGGATGTCATTAGAGTACCATCTCCTTTTTATATTTGTATTGACTTTAACTTATAAAGAGTGTTTGAAGTTGGAAAAGGAAGGTTTAAAACAGCCTTATCACAACCTAATGCTGAAAACTGGTCTTGGGAAATGCGGTTATGCATCAAATAATACTAAGAATCTGAACATCTGTCTTTGCATTTGGATTGAAAAAAATTTCTGCACTTTGAAACTCTTGTAGAGTTTCTTTGAACAACCAAGTGATGAAGGATACCTTTTTTCAGTTGATTGCATCAGGCAAATTATGACATTTCCAATCTGTGGATCTGAAACACAAAGATTTACGTTGTTTTTTTCATAATGACCAGACTAACAAAAATTTCATTTAGTCTAAGATCAGAAAAGTGGGAAAGCGTAATAGCAGCTGGTTGTAGAACGATTTCTGATCACTGACATCGAAGACTGAGGAAAGTAAAATTTGTTCCTGTGCTTCTTATTTTTTAAAAATTCTCCCAAAGGACTTTGAACAAGAATTAGGTGTGGAGAAAACCACGGATCAGGAAACACGGGCAAAGGACTTTTGATGCTGGGCCAGAGCATGTGTTATTTATATGATGGAATTCCTGTTTTTCTGTAAGCATGAAGCAGTGCAGTACGAGAGGAGCTCCCCCTGCAGATGCTGTCTGTTACACTGAGACTGTAGTCCCATTTTGTATGTTGTGTAAAACGAAAGCATTGAACAAAGCAAAGGTGATGTATGTATATGAGAAAATTAACTGTATGATATCATTCCAGTACATTCTGTTGTACATTTTAGTCATGTTGATTTCTCCCATTGTTTATATAAGAATGCGGTTTGTACAGTCTCCAGCTAGTCCCCAGATTAGAGGGAAAAAAGTATTAGAAGGAAAAAAAAAAAAAAAGGCAAGAACAGAATATTCATTAATTGCAGTTGTGTCAAAACTAGCCTAGCTGGCCTTATTTGTGAAGCATAATTGCTTTTAGCATATGGAAGTATTTTTTCACATTTTCTTTGTATAAAATTTGTATTAAACTTAAATATCTTTTTTGACAATTGTGTTTCTTTGTGACTAAGACAGGTGACACACACGATATGCTTTGGGTTTCTCCAATTTTTCAAGAAACTTCACAATTTTTTTATTAAACTGTTTTAGAAAAATGCTCTGTGTTCCTGGATTTCCAGTTTTGGTTCAATCTGGAGGAATGTTCACTTCTGCACAGTCTCCAGATCACAGGTAACTTCACTTACATTAGCATCTTCTGTCTCAGAACACCTGCCGAATTTGAGATAAAACAAAGCAGCACTGACATTCTGTAAATAAGAAGCCATTTATGTGTAAAACTCAGCAGGAGATGTTTTCTCTCAGTTTTAACAGCAGCAAAGGTCCATCACTTGTTGAGTAGCATTTCTTCACTGGCTGGACTGGGGCTGGACTGATAACACGTCATTGTTAGGTGGATTTGTGGGTTAGAAATGGGGATTGTTGTAGCCCTCTCACAGGGCAGGAACTGGGCAAGACTTCTGTGTGTGTGTCTTAATTAGAAGTTAGAAGAAACAGGGAGCTGTAAAAGAGCTGACTAAAATCTTACTGAGAATATTGTCTGAAGTTCCTACTCCTGTAGTTAACCTTGTTCCAGGCATTTGTGAAGCAACCAAAGTTAATGTTCCCAGTGCTACTGTGTTTACAGAATGGCATAGATCTTGAAATGATGTTTTGGCCTCCCCCGTGGAATTTGGATGCTGGTATCACTGAAATGAGCCCTTGTGCAAGGAGGAAAAGGAAAGAGATGAACAAGACATAAATTGCTGTAGGAAACCCCGCTGCTTTCTGACACCTTCCTATTTGTGACAGTCTTTCTTACAGCAGGAAAACCATGAGGAAAAAAATTCCACCACATTTGCTGCTCAGCAGGCCCTGAGAGCAGGAACACCTCTGCTAGAAAAGTCACATTTTGGATGGAGTTGTGCTCTTTACAAATCCCCCAAAGCAGGAAGAGGGGTTTGGTCGTGTGGCTGTCGACACACGGGGCTGACGTGTCACAGCTGCCATGTGGCTGCTGCCTTCTGAGCCAAAGACTGAGACTGGATTAATTTAAGATCAGATTTTCTGCTTTAGTTTGGCAGAAAATCCCCTCTCAGATCCAGCACTGTTTTCTCTGAATGTTTGTAGAGATCAGGAGTATCCCTCAGGCTTGTGTAGCACTTGTGTCATATCTGTAACTCGTTTGATCTTATTAGATGAGGGCATTGTAGCACTTGCTACATCTCTACCACCTGGTTCCAGGGTGGCTTTGATCCTTCTGAGGTTGTCTGGTGCCACAGTGAGCAAGAATCCGTTTTCAAAGTGAATGAGAGAGTCATCCAGGCCCAGAGAATTTAACTGTTTTGGCAGCAAGATTAACAGCCCAGCCTTGAAATGGGGAGTACATATTCCACATATACCTCTAGATCCAGCAGTGGTGGCAGAAAAGGCAGGTCATCTAGTCCCCCAAAATGTAAACATGTTTTTATTTAATGCCTTTTACTCATCACAAGGTACTTTTTCCCCCAAGACAGCAGTATAAGGCACCGTGTAGACACGTGCACAGTCCTCATACCATCTGGGCAAGGTTCAAAAACACAGCTACAGTTCTTACCAACAGTACCATGTGTCCTGACTACTCATGTACACAATATGATTCTTCCCCAGAGTTTGTTCTGGAGAAATGAACTATTAATTTAGAACAGTAAGACTTTCCCCACCCACCCACCCACCCCAAAAAGCCAGATTAAAAACACAGGTACAGAGCTTAATACCAGAGTAATGAGATTAGTTCATAAATTAAAAAAATAGCAAAAAAAAAAAAAAAAATCAACAGTTTCACTCTTATTTTCAGAAGGTCCTGTGTGATGTGACGGACTGTGCAGAGACTCCTTGCTGTGTCCTCTTCCCCTTTCAAAACCAAGAAAGCTGACAGGGACACCCAGACTTGTAGCATTTGTTGTTGATGGCAAAAAGGCCATTAGAGCTCTGTGCCTCCAACTTAGCCAGCAACTGCAGCATCCCAGCGACTGATCAGAAGGTTTTTCCTCTGTCCAAAGGAAGGAGGACTTGAGACAATGTTCTTTGGCTGCAAGTTCTTAAAGGCTTCCACTGAAAGGGTTCTCCTTCAAAAAAAAGAAAAACTGCAGTTGCTGTGGGATTTTTTTTTTTTTTACTGAGCAAATGATGAGGAATAGGTGGAACCGCTGCAATAGTCTGAGTGAAGCCCTCCCAGTGCTAAGATGTTGGGCTCTGCTACAAATATTCAAGTTCCAAGGCGTGCCGAAGAGCTTCCAGGTCAGCGTGACAAGAGATTCTCCAGAATGGCATGTTGTGCTAGAGTGAAACCAAAAGAGGGGAATTTTTTGTTTTGTTTTGTTTTTGTATAATACTGAGATGAAAACAACTTTCTTAGTTTGCACCCTCAGGAACAGAGCTTTGTGCTTGGCCACCAGGCTGTCACGGTGCCACAGGCAAGGGGGCTCATCTGAGAGGGGAGGGAGGGACAGGGGGAGGGAGGGGGAAGTGTCTCTTTGCTGAGCTGTGTCTCCTCTGCAGACAGGAAAACATAGTCACAATTTAGGAGTCTCCTGCCTCACAAATGATGGAGGATGTGGGCTCACTTTCTGAATGTTCTGAGAGCACTTAGTCCCTTTCAACATGGGAGTAACACTCCTAAGAATCTTTTAGCACTAAGAATTCACCTGTAACCACGCTGCTTCTGGATAAACAGCTTCCACAAAGCTTCAGAGAACATATACTTCCTAGATAGATGACTGATGGAGATGCTCCTTTTCCAATTGTACCTACCTGTGTACAAAAAAACCTCCAATGGTTCCAGATGTTTATGTTACAGAGGGTCTATTTACCCTCCTCTAATGTTTAAATAAGCTTCCCTCTGGTATGTTGGTATCAGTAAACAAATGCTGCCTTCAAACTATTTATCAGCGTGTTTAGAGAGAGCAAGCAAACCCAGACAGCCAAAGTGACTGAAATCCACTGCTCTGCAATTTTACTTTAAGGGGAAAAGTTATTTCCTTCTCCCTCCCCTGGTTGCTATTAAGCTCCTTCCATTAAATTATCTATTTTTCTTTCTTAAACCAGAAGAAAACTTGGCCTCCCAGCCACTCCTGTTGTCCAGCAATTACAGATCTATCACTCATCAGACAGGTGAAGTAAAATGACCCACAAAAGTGGAGATATTATCAGTACTGGCAAAACAGGGAAAGGCCTCTGCCTGTCCCCTCCCTTCCTTGTTTGTTTTTTTTTTTTTTTTCCTGTATAAAACTCAGGTGTGTAGAAGCTTTGATTAATGAGTGTCATCAATCAAAGGAGGAGACAGCCCAGCAAAGAATGTGCTCTACTAATGGGAGAGCTGCTGAGCCAGGAGACAGGAGCAAGAGGCTCTTGGAATCCTGGCAAGGGAGACTGGTGAACCTTCCACTTCCCCATGGAGGCAGAGAGCCCCTGCAGCCTTTGATGGAGTCCTGCTCACTGACCCACTGCCTTTGAAGTGTGGCACTGAGCTGTCACAAGCAGCAGGCCATTATCACTTCAGCCCAGTAGTGCATTTTGGACTCTCCCCTGACAGCTCCTTAACCCTTCATGAACTACAGAACCACCTGCAATTTTAGGCAGTTTTCCACAGTGGCTCCAGATATTGTTGCTTCCATCGGCCAGGGGAAATACACTAGTTAAAAACAGGGTTTCTGCTGCATTGGAGGCAACCTGGGGATAGAACATGTGCCCATTACCTTATTTGCTGGGATCCCTTTGTTCCTGGGCTTATGCAACTAAAAAGCTCAAATTTGCTTGGAAAGCCTTTGCAGGATCTTCAGTCAGAATGTGATACCAGGTCCTCCAACACAAGGTTCAGCTGTATAAGCTGAGTTCCTATAATATTTTGCACATCACGTGAGCTACACCATTAAAAATCAACTAGTTTGCTGAAGATGGGGCTCAGTTCCTGCATCCAGTCAGTTCCTGCATCCCAGCTCTCATGCAATGCTCCCAAAGCAAACACAGCTCTATCACATTTCAGCAGCACAGGACCCAGGATGCACAAAGACATCTTGCAAATCATGTCTGCCATTAACAAATTGTGTTCCTGTCCCTGTAAAGCCAAATAAGTGGCATTCACAGACTGTACCTTTTTTGCTCCTTGTTCCTCTTCAACACCATCTCCTATTACAATGTACACGGCTTTCCTTCCGAACCTCTGCATTATCCTTTCAAAGCAGCTCTCTTTCCCTAAGCAACACAAGAGAAGACACATTTTTTGATCTGCACACATACTGCAGGCAGAGCTGACATTCAGGAGCTGGACCTGGAGTTGTGACCTAACTGCTACATTCCATGTTTTCTTTTGGAATTGGAATGTAGCTGAATCTCCACCTGAGGTGGACTCTCTCCATGTCATGACAGTTAACTTGCATGTTCTTTATCAGCCAAGCACTTCCAAGTGCTGCCAGTTTTCCATGAACTTTGTGACTTTGATGTAAGAGGATCCAGACAGCGTTTCTGTAACAGGTACAACCAGACTTCCTTTGAGCTGGGTGCAGCTGAACATCCCACATGCAGTCAATGCTCCATAGGGTGGGTGTGTATCTATATATCAGGCTCACTCCTCCATGGAGACACCTGGAATTATTTTTTTTTTCCAGTCTGTACTAGCCTAAGTGTAGGAGTCAGGATGTGAATTAGACACCTGTAAATATGGAGCTGAAACTAAACCTCACACATTGCTAGCTGTGATCAGGTTGGGTGGCTGTGCCTGACTTAGGGACAAAATTTCAGCCTGTCTTTGGTGAAGCCTAAGTCAGTTTACTCTTACCTGTTTTTGTTGCACTGTAAATGTTTTCAATGGGGAAGACAGTGCCCAGTCCATAGAGAAGCACTTTAGCAAGAGCTGGTATAAGCTGAGTTGTGGTGACCAACACATTCACACAGTTGGGCCTGGAAAACAAAAGTTATTAGAAGTGGCAATCTGTGTTTCTCTCTTTCACTCTGGATTGAAAGATGGTAGGAAGCA